CAGCAGCGTTGCCAGAAACACCAGAGGCAGAGTGAGCGAGTTCCCAAACGCAGATGCTGACATCACCACCGCCTCCTTCCTCACCGCCGTAACAGACCGTGTTTTGAGCCGACTCACATCACCACCGCCTCCTTGCTTCCTTCCCTCTGGCCCAACCAGTAACAGTGTACTCACCCACCCGTTGAAGAGCGAAAGGTACCATTTGAGACGTCTCAAAGGTCCAAACGCACATGCTGACATCACCACCGCCTCCTTGCTTCCTTCCCTCTGGCCCAACCATGAGCAGTGGACTCACCCAACCTTGAAGAGCGCAAGGTACCAAAGCGCTCTGTCAGCATGGGTAGACTGCTAATGCACTCAACACAGAAAGGTGTAAAAGTGTAGTGTACTCACCCAACCATGAAGAGTGCCAGGTACCCAGCGGCCCTGTCAGCACAGGTAGGTACATTGTACGGGTGTGTCAACATTTTTTTTTATATGTACTCACCCAACCATGAAGAGTGCCAGGTACCCAGCGGCCCTGTCAGCACAGGTAGGTACATTGTACGGGTGTGTCAACATTTTTTTTTATATGTACTCACCCAACCATGAAGAGTGCCAGGTACCCAGCGGCCCTGTCAGCACAGGTAGGTACATTGTACGGGTGTGTCAACATTTTTTTTTATATGTACTCACCCAACCATGAAGAGTGCCAGGTACCCAGCGGCCCTGTCAGCACAGGTAGGTACATTGTACGGGTGTGTCAACATTTTTTTTTATATGTACTCACCCAACCATGAAGAGTGCCAGGTACCCAGCGGCCCTGTCAGCACAGGTAGGTACATTGTACGGGTGTGTCAACATTTTTTTTTATATGTACTCACCCAACCATGAAGAGTGCCAGGTACCCAGCAGCCCTGTCAGCATCAGCGCGAGACAGCAGTGTTGCCAGAAACATCAGAGGCAGAGTGAGCGAGTTGCCAAACGCACACGCTGACATCACCACCGCCTCCTTCCTGCCCGCCGCCCGCTCCGCCGCCCCGACCATCCCAGGCGCAGACAAAACGCCCCGCCCTGGCGCCGCCTTCAAGCCACCCTCCTTCCCTTCCCCTTCCCCTTCCCGTTCCCGTTCCTCTCCCCTCCCTCCGCTCCCCCTTCCCCATTGCACAAAAGACCGGGACTCATTTTCGTGAGGAGGAGGGGGGAGACCTGACAGGTGGGCAGCAGCAGAAGGGGAGAGGCCGAGGCTCTGAGCGACTGAGAAGGCAATGTGGCGGGCGGCAGGAGGGGAGGGGAGCGAGGAGAGCGAGGAGGGGCGATGGTAGGCGATGGTGCAGGCTAGCTTGCCTAGCGCTGCTCCACAGAGGATCTGGGAACACAGGATAGTGTGGTAGGGTGGGGTGGGGTGGGGTGCGGTGAAAGGGGTTGTCAAGGAAAACTGGAGAACAAATGCAGTGCAAAGTGAGCGAGGAGAGGTGAGTAGGATGGTGGCAGCAGAGGAGTGGAGAGGAGTGGAGAGGAGTGGAGTGGAGTGGTGTGGAGTGGAGTGGGGTGGAGTGGAGTGGAGAGCGGTGCAGCACGTACCTGAGCAACGGCGAGGAGAGGTAGCGCTGCGAGCGAGGTGAGTGGTTGAACGGCTAGCGTAGAGGCAACTTTGGTCATGAGGAAGCAGGGGATGAGCGCTTGGAAAGCCACCTGGAGGGGTGGAAGGGGTGGGGGGGTTGGGCATTCAGAGTCAAGCAATGAGAAGGCTCGGAGAGCGTAGAGGCACCTTTGGTCATAAGGAAGCAAGGGATGATCATGAGCGCTTGGGAAGGCCACATCGTGGGATGGAAATGGTTGGAAGGAGGGAAGAGCGGTGCAAAAGCATGGAAAGAACTTCGAGAGGTGACTCAAAGGTTCAGAGCGGAAGGGTTATGAGCAATGATACCGCACTACTGTTCCGCTTGAGGAGACGTTTAAGTCGAAGCAAAAGAGGGTAAGGATGGACACCTGAACAATATATAAGTGGAGTGGACATCTAAACCACACCTGACTGGACACCTGAAGTGAAACCCACCTGATAACACGCCAGGCTTAAAAAAAAACGACCGTTTTTTTTTTTTGTTTTGTTTTTTTTTTTTTTTTTTTGTTTTTTTTGGGGGGGGGGGGGGGGGTAATTGTACCGTACAAAACGACTGTTTAAAACGGTTCCAAGAGGTGTTTTCAGTTTAGTTAACAGATCGGCTACTTAAAGGGACAAAATTGAACCCGAATTTCAGCAGGATAAAGGGGACTTGCCCCTTCTTGCATGTGTGCACTTGTTGGCATGATTGAAAATGTGTTTGACCTTGTTTTTCCCCTTTTTTTTCTTGGTGACCAGACTTCTCTAACAAAAAAACGGCCGATTTTTATTTAATCGCCGTAAAAAACGGACAGTATTTTACGAAAACCGTAGTTTTGAACCTTGGATAACACCTGAACCACACCTAACAATCCACCTGAACCCCACCGAACCGCACCTGGCTGAGCACTGAGGGTGTGGCCTTGGGAAGAATGTTGGCCTTCATTAGCCACACAATGAACGCTGCATGGAGCATGGAGCGAGCAGGGAGGTGGGGTGGGTACGATCACTAGAAGAGAAGACGAGGCAACCTCACTGTACCCACATATCCCTGATCCCTGACCTTGAAACCATTTTTGAGTCGACTCAAAAATTGACCTTGAAACCATTTTTGAGTCGACTCAAAAATTGACCTTGAAACCATTTTTGAGTCGACTCAAAAATTGACCTTGAAACCATTTTTGAGTCGACTCAAAAATTGACCTTGAAACCATTTTTGAGTCGACTCAAAAATTGACCTTGAAACCATTTTTTAGTCGACTCAAAGATTGACCTTGAAACCATTTTTGAGTCGACTAAAAAATCGACCTTGAAACCATTTTTTAGTCGACTCAAAAATTGACCTTGAAACCATTTTTGAGTCGACTCAAAAATCGACCTTGAAACCATTTTTGAGTCGACTCAACAATTGACCTTGAGACCATTTTTTAGTAGACTAAAAAATGGCCTCACTGTACCCACATCTCCCTGATCCCTGACCTTGAAACCCTGACCCTAAACCTCCGTACCCTCTCCCTCTAGGAATCACCGTATTGACCACATGGGGTGTGTACCTACCGACATTGCCTTCACTGGTCAAATTAGGGCTGTGAAGCTTGTTTCGAGTCGAGTTAGAACATCACTTGGAGGTTCTATTCGCGAGAGATCAAAAGAGAAAGAGACGGAACGAGGGCCCAGGGTCAGCATGAGGCAGAGAGTGTGGCGGCCCACCGCACATGGCGAACAGCTTGAACGCAGCTCTCAAGGAAGCTCGCAGGACAGCAAATGCGGATCAGTATGAGGCATGAGGCATAAGGCAGCGCGCAGCTCCCAATGGCTCACCGCACATGGCGAACAGCTTGAACGCGGCTCCCAGGGATGCTTGCAGAACAGATGTGTTCACGCCACATGCGGCGAGCACCGTTCCCACCGCTGCCACTGCCGCTCCCGCTCCTGCTGCTCCTGCTGCTGCTGCTGCTGCTGCTCCCGCTGCTGGCGAGGTGACGAGGCCCACTGCTGCTGGTGCTGCATTTGTCGCAACACATCTACTCCTCCTGCCAGACGATAGGACGTTGACGGACGGTTTATTAGACGCCTCAAAAATTGCAGCCGTCACAACACGTCTACTCCTGTCAGTTGATAGGAATTTGACAGACAGGTCATTGGAGGAACGGCCATTGTGGGCAACCGCCCCCGCGTCCCCGAGAAATGACCGTTGGGAATTGATTTACTTGCCGGCAGGACGTCTAGCTAGACGGCTGCTGCTGGGCCTGACGGTCCGAAAGTTCGGGTTCAAAAAAGGCCCCACGTAGCCGGCAGAAGGAAGACGGGGTATACTTGAGGTTGCCTCTACTGCGGAGAGGACACGTGGCGTGGCGTGAGTGGCTGGACTGGAAGTAGGTATCAGCGTACAGGACCCACGAAGCATCGGAAACATGGTGTCAGGCAGCAATCAGTGCCGTTGTCTGAAAACCCGGATCATATCAACCCAATAGGGTGCCCGATTAGAGGGGATTCGGGTCGTGAGTAGCACGTCGCATGTCGCACTGTCGCAAATCGCAAATGTCGCATTCGGAAGGCCCAGGGTCCAGCTTGATGCGGTAACCAGCTGTAGTGGCCCAGGGTCCACTACAGTTGGTGCGCTAAGTTACCGATTGCGACGAAGGGTGCAAGCTACGGCATTGGCGGAGGGAAGCGATGACGTGGAACTTTCTGATTCAAGGAGAAAAGAGGGAGCAACGCGTGACGGTAATGAGATGGTAGATTCTACTACGTCAGGCATGCCCTGAAGCCTCGGGTCAGAGCCCTCGTTTCAGGCGGAATGGTCACGGCGCGTACCATCCCCAAAATGTTTCTGACCCTAGCGTGACCCACCTACCGGCCTGACCCAAGCCTTGCCTGTAAATGCCCCCAGAGTGCCTTCCGGGTCAAATAAGGGTTAGTGGTCACATAAGGGTCAGTTTTGGGTCAGCGAGTATTTGCCCCTAAATCGAACCCAACCTCTATCTGACCCTAAACTGCCCCAAACCTGCCTTGCACTTGTACCTTGACCACCCGGGTTCGATTCTCGCCGGTTAAAGGGAATTAAAAACCCGGTAAGAAGTGGCCCTGGCCCCATTATAGCGAATGTCCCACTGCAGCTGCTCCGACGCTACATTTTGTAACAATCCATGAACACTACATATACAACCATCAAATTATCTAGGACACAGTCCATGGCCAAAATTCCATACCCACGACGCGTGGCCCATAGGGACGCCACCCGGAATCCGAAGCTAATTGACGGCAATCGAACGATCGGATACAACATATGCCCGGCAGGGATAGATGCACACAGGTATTAAATCAAAACTACTACCAATGTTTATGGTCATGTCCTGACCCCACACAGTCCCCGCCGATGCCCAACCAGCAGCCACAAGAATACAGAACCAGGGTTTCACTCATCAAACAGAAACCGGTTCACCAAAGAGAACCGGGGCTCAGTGGAACACGGGACAATGTGGGCAAGGGACAGAATGCTGTCCACCTCGACAACTGCGTACTCGTCCTCTCCCACAGTCGGCAGTAGCCTCGCGCATCCAGTCACGGGGCATGGAGTGGGATGCTCGTCGAAATACCGCACCACGGCGCGCCTGTGAATCTGGGCCTCGCCGTCAATGAAATGGAATAGCATGATGCACCGAGCATACCACTCGCCCTCCCCCCCAGCAATCGACACGTAGCTGAACTTCCCCTCACCCGGCGCTGCCTTCACCATGTGCCCTGGCCCGCGGCCCAAGAGGCGGTCATGGGGGGGTATCGCCATCGCTGTGTGAACCTGCACAAACCGACAGAAACCCAATCAGGCATCATGTGACGCCCCCCCCACGAACCCAACATCACGCAACTATGGACCAGCATGTACACCCGAAATCCCAATCCCGAACCGGCCCCCTTGCACCCACTCATCGACGAGGCATCACCTGCACGCCTGACGCATCGATCCCCACACGCTGCATCACCCGTGCGATACCGTCCATCACCCCGCTGCCCAGCACGGCGCCATATTCTGCCCAGACGGGGTCCTGCGCATCCCCCACCGCCATGCGCCGTGAACGTCGGGTAAGCACCCTGGTGTTGTGCTTCACCCCCTGTGCCCACGCACCGTACGATGGGAATGGAAAAGAGCATAAAAGAGAACCCTCCATCACCGTGAGACCCGACAGCCAATACGGGACACCATGCTGTAAGTAATGTCACATGGCTCGGGAGCGCTACACTCATGCACGACCCGTCATGGCTCACCGTGCGCATGGCCGTCTCGTACGTCCTACCGCCCTCGGCCCGACCCAGGCCCCTGATTGCCTCGTTGCCTGCGTGGCGAACCGCAATGTCTCTGCCCACGTCCCGCCAGTTCGAGTTCCGTGCAGGCCATTTGCAGAATCGCTTATGCAAGGCCTCGTATGTGTTGGTCGATTGCTCGGACGGGATGCCATGCATCCTGATCGCATGCGGGAGGTGCCGGAGAAGATGCACCTTCGACAGTCGCCACTGCGACGACTGCTTGGGGAAGACGAGCTTCAGCTCCGCGACCAGCCTGCGCAGCCACGTACATCCACGCGTGAGAGGTATGGCTATGCGGGGCAGTGGCATGAGGGGCATGTGCATTAGCTGGGAGGAGCAGACCTTGCTTTGGGTCGAGGTACTGCTCATCAGATAAGGCATGGGCATGATATGCGTGCAGGGGCAGAGGCATGAGATTGACCATCGAGAGAGTCCCTTGCACGAGAGTCCAACGCGGGGTTGGGAAAGGGCAGTAGAGGCACGGCGGTCTGATGCAGTGGTACGAGAGCCTGTTGCACCCTATTGGCATAGGGATAAATGGCCAGATGCAGGGTTGGGGCATGGGAGATTAGGGATGGATAGGCGGGGGCAGGCCATGGGAGTGTCATTGGAGGGAGTGGCCTAAGAGTAAAGTGCAAAAGAGTGCGAGGCATCAGACCGCCAGGTGCGGGACAGAAAGTGGGTCTTGTGAGGCAGGGGCCAGAGGTGCAGGGGCCTAGTGGATGCTGGTGCCAACCAGCATTGTGAGTGACAAACCAACTTACACAATGGTCTTCCTCGTTGCCTCTTGAAGAGACGCCTCCGTGTAATACGCCACGCGGAAATATGCGCGGTACCACTCGTTGAAGAGGATGACCACTCGGGCAATGTCCTCGTGTCCAGGCAGGTGAGCGACCAGCGGGACAATCTGCATCATGGCCCGGTGCTCCCATGCGGCATACTGGGACACCGTCCCAAAGTATGCCGACGGGTCCGGATGACGGAGAAGAGACGGTGGCGTCACTGCCATGACGGCCTCGCACTGGCTGCGGCCACAAGCAATGCAACGGGTCAGTACGGCATGAGCAAACACGTCCACACCAGCTGCGTGCTACAAGGCATGTTTACTGCACCACGCCACACCCCCACGACAACCCGCACGCAGTACCTTAGAAGAAGGAGCTGCTCGGTGGGGGTTAATTTCCCCACCAGGCATCGCATGGTGTGCAGCCACACCCCCTCGTCCACCACGTGCATGATGCATATTCCGATGACCTCGTAGAGGTTCCCCCAGGGTGTGTCGACGTGCGCCCATTCCCACAGTGCGCACTGCCAAATAGGACAAACCTACCGCTGTTATCCCCGCGCGGTATCACCCTCTTAGTATTCTGCATACAACCGTTGAACTGCCTGACCCCCACACCAAGCCGCTCAGAGGGTCACCCACCTGCACAAAGTGGGTGCACCATGCAGACATAACTCTCTTGCGCTTCTTTGGGTTGGTACCCTCGATCCGCACGTACACGTCCTTTTGGCCTTTCACGGTGCGTGGGGTGCTTTCCAGGGTCAGATCCGCCAGGTCCCACTTGCTCACAAGGCACATAGAGCAAGGTTGGTTCGACGTGGCTGACCATGTGCATGTCACCATGCACGACTCGGTGTGGTCGCACAGGTACTTGCTCAGGAGTGGAAAGACCCGCTGATTCCGCCCCAAATGATCGGTGACCATGATTCCCTCACTGCGCAATAAGGGGCCCGGACGTCGGTAGAAGCAAGTGTGAACAACGGGTTATTCCACTTACCCCACGCTCACACAAAATGACGCTTTGCCGAAGGCTCATTCCAGGCCATTCCCCGCAACGTACCTCTCGACTGATGACGCCCGCATGAGAGGCCCTAGTACCAGCCGCAGCATCTCGTGCATGAGCTCCGTCTTCTGCCCAGGTGTCAAGGCTGCGGGTAGCGGGGGGGACAGTGCTACCATCTCCACGCCTCCTTCCAGCCATCGGCTAGCCTCGGGAATGTTGTCCAGCGAGAACATCATCGGGTGAGCCAGCTGCCTCCCATTAAACGTTAGATGAGTCGCATCGCTGAACAGAATCACCGCTGCCAATAGACCGGCGCCCAATAAAGCCTCCTGTAGGGTTTGCGTCGTGCACTGACGGTGATGTGGTTGTACAAGGCACGCCACGTCCGCCCACCGTTCCCAATGCACCGATATGACCCTGCAACAACGATTTGAACGACACTAGCCAGGTTCAAACGTACCCATGCCCTCAAAAACCAGTCGCACTCCACAGCTGCACCGTAACGTCTCTCGTCATCCACCTCCACAATCCGAGGTTCCGTCGTGAACCCTGGTACACGTGACATCTTATGCCACATCCGCTGCAGAATCTGCGGGGTTAAGTGGGTTGCACAATGAGCAGCATACCAAGGAGTGATTCGGGCAAAAAATGGGGAAGGCCACAAAGGGTCAAGCAGCAAAACTCACTCGAACGAGCGGCCGGAACCGAAACGTCACCTCACCCAGATCCCCCCTCAGCTCCAACACGCGGATCTCCCATTCGTCGCCGTGTGACAGCTATTCCGCCTCAAACCGTTCGAGGTCTCGATATGTCTCCCACAGATCCACCTCTGAGGCGTCTCCGTTGCCAGCTTTGTACAACTGGATGATGTCCGTTATGGCGGCATTAGGCAGGAAATAGGTCCGCGCAATACGCGCTATTTCTAACCTAATGTCCCGTTTGACACCCGCCTCCACCACGTCCCCCGACTCCCCCGATGCCACCGACTGCGCTGACTCTGCTGATGACGACGCGGCGCCGTCATCGCCATTGGCGTCCTCCACGTCGCGCTCGCGAGCCGTGCGTGGCTCGAATGGCACGTCACTGCGCCGACCATTACCGTGCACGATCGTTATGATCGGCGGCCGATAGAACCAGCCGTACGGAATGCCTAAGGCAGCTAGGCGGTCCTGTTCGTACAGGCATCTTTTGTTCCTCCTCTGATGTCTACGTAACCCACCGTAACTTTTAAGTAACTTCTCGCAGAAGCAGCATGTCGCATACGGCATAGTAACCCAGTCATGCTCGGAATATGACTCCCATGGCGGTCCTGTGCAAGGATGGTCAGACGGTGTTTACAACCATGTCGCCCACGCAAGTGCATATCACGGTTGCTCCTACATAAACTCGCGTAATGAACCAGACGTAGGGAGCTAGGGTTTCACCGCCACGCCAGCCGCCTGCTGTGCACCTCCAGTGCCTGTGATTATGTCCACGGGGGTGCAGTCACATGTGATGAAGAGTGCAGTGCCTTAAACGGGAAGGCATGACCACTGATGAGCGAGCAATGCGGCTGCATTGAGTTGTTGCACACGGCCCATACCTGTCACCGCACTGGCACGCGCGGCACCGTCATGGCCCATCGACGTTGTCCGCGGATATACTCCCGTCTCGGCCTGAGCGGTCTCCTCATCTTTGCACTTGGTTGCGTGGCGGTCTGTGTTGTTGGTGTGGCCAAGACCTGGCAGTGATGCCGCCCCCCCTTTCTGCTCCGCGTGTTCGGCCTGTTTGTGCGTCAGCATCCCTCCGTTGACTCCACGCGTGGCCCTGGTCTCCGTGTCCTGCACAAACGCTGTACGGCCATGCTTGCTAGTTGGGGCTGTGGGTCCCGGCGATGAGGCAGCATTGGGTGAAGTTGGCTCATATGGCAAGCGACGACCTACGTCGGCTGAGTTGGCGAGGCCCACAACGGTAGGGCGCAACGCCACCACCTTACCCTCCGCTTTGTCCCTCTGCACCTGCTGTGGCTCCCTTTCGACATCCCGAGCAACGCGGTCGACTCTCGTTCCTCCAGCATTTTGCTTCTCGCCCTCCACACGCGCACTATCCCGCCCCGCTGCACCACCCGCAAGGCGGCTTGTGGGACTGCTTGGATGAGGAACGTTCTCGCGAGGAGCTAGAAGTCCTCCCCGGAACTCCGACGCTGTCTTGCCATTGGCAGCTCGACAGGATCTCAGGTCCTCCTCCGTCGCCGGAGTTTCTGTCCCGAGGTCTGGTGAACCGCTGTATGGCTGCGTCTCTGCGTCCATCAGCGCGTCCACCGGCTCCCCTAGCTCCACGGCCTCCTCGTGGCCCTGTCCGTGCCCGGCTGGGTGGTTGGCTCTTACGGAATGAGATTCTCCACCGTAGCGTGGATCGGTACCATCCCAATTGTAATTTCGAGCCTGTGGGTTAAACCACGGATTTAGAAACGCACCGCTCCTATATACATCCTCTGGCATTCCACAGAATGGGTCTTCCTCTGACTCGGCTGCGACACCATCTTTTACGGTGTGCACTACTTGCTGGCTGGTAGCGCGCAACCCTGGCTCGCTTCGCGTGGTGGCCATGGTGGTTACTATGAGTTCCGAACTCGGGGCTGGTGGTTGCGATTACACAGCCCACGGTTGTAAGTGTTGTGTGCTTGAACATTGACTAGGGTTTCGGGAACAGTGAATGCCCCAATACTAGCCCACTCGCATGTCATCGCCCGTACACCCTACACCCGGCCTCGATACGGTTAGCTCCGCCATTGTTTGTTTGGTCTTAACTACGGTTGCTTAGATATTTGTGTATCAAGTCCTATCTTTGCAAGTCATTGCCTATTTTAATGTCGTATTCATGGCTACACAATTCCGTGCTGCACAACGTATGACTAGGGCTAAAAGGTAACTATGAAGATGGTGCGGCCATCTGCTTGGGGTACCAGCCACTCCATTCCCTGAAATCTTCCCTAATATCTTCCCTCCATTCTTATGGGTCACCCCACAGTGTGATCGACGATGGGTGGGCAAACGCGGTTTCCACCATCACCTGCATATACTTCATCACGAACACACCACAGTCGTTGTGGTTCGTCTGTTTTGTGACCTGGTTCTCATCCCACGTCACACACGTACAGAGACAACATATAGTACATCAGCATATATGACGCGCATCCTCTGGTCCTGGCCCACAGATCACACGTATCGAGAGCTGCTTACCTCCAGGTGGACGAGCTCGACATGCTTCTCCCATAGTTGCGCCTCCACGTCCGTGACAACAGGCCGATACCCATGCAGCTGGGCCACCAGATAACGTCTAAGTGGTCCTGCGATGTCCGTGTGCAACGAGAGTGAGTCTGCATGAAGGATGCGGGTGGGTCGCGGGATGTTATGCTCGTCGACAGGGTGGTCGTTGTCCAATATGACAAGGCTCCAGTGGTCGCTGCAAGCACGAGGGCAAAAAAGGGTGCGGCCATCAGACTATGTGGTCGCCTACAGAACTGGAGCCGGCGACGTACACGGGTCAAAGACTCACGCGCGGTGGATTGGGACAATGACCCATTTGTATGAGAGCACGTTCTCTCCGCACGCGAAGTTTCGCAGTGGTCGCGCATTGTTGTCACGGGAAATCAGCGTGAAAAAGTATGTCCCCGCGTACAGCCAGGTCTTGGCGTCTCGCTCAGTGTCGTACTGAAGCAAGCTGCAATGACAAGCAAGGTAAGGGACGCAATAAGCTTAAGTCCCTACCCATGGGGATTCGGCTGTTGTGACGACGCACATCATGCGGCGATTACTCACATGCCCCACCACTCAATGATGTCGCCAGACACCCATTGCCCCGGGGACAGGGTGTCTAGCTGTTTCTGCGTCAACGTAACCACGAACCTCCGATTGGGTATGGGATACTGTACTTGCGCATACGAGACACCGTTGATGTGGACTTTTTAGGAGGCATTTTAGCCGGTTGCGCTGATGAGAACAATTATGGCTACGCACCGCCGCTACTTCTGCGGGAAACACGCTAGCAGGCACTAATGAGTGAGGCGGGCTAGAAATGGATCCTGTGAACTCACTGGACGAGAAATTTGAAGTTACGTTGTGCTTGGAACATGGATCGGTGGGGCCCGGTTTGAGTATTTGCGGTGCACATATGCCTTCGATCACCGTGGCTTAATGTCTTTGACACTAGGGCTGGCAAGGGCAGGTTGGGGACTCTGGCATCCTTACACGTTGTACCGAAACTTCTTTCGTGGTCGGCTATAACTTACATCGCGCAACCATTGTATCGGATTACACGGCTACACCATGCAACCAGCTGTCATGGTTCGAGCACTAGGGTTGAGCCTCGGAGCCGATAAGGTTACACGTCATCGGGCCGTGCGAGGCCATAAAGTGGACATGTGTGGTTCCAAAACGGCCAACGAGGCGCGCACAGACTGCGTGTGCTGTACACCTTACCAACGGTTTCGATTCTGCCGTTCGGTCGGGGAACTTCAATCCACGGCTGTCACGCACTTCGAATGCCACGCCCTCATTGGAGCTGGAGCCCATGGGCACGTCTGGTTGGTTGATGTGTGCGTGACTCCTGTTCTTGGTTGTCTCAAGGCGTTTTGGGGAAACCCTAGCTTTGTCTCATTGGATACTATACGTAACCCAGGCCGTTGTCGAATTCCTCGCGCTATTGAAGAAGCCAGTTCGAGGACAGAACGATGTCTCTAACCTTAGACCGACCTCAGCGAGATAGGAAGCCACCCGCACACTTGAACTCCTCTGATTTCGTGTTGTCAACGGTCCGCACACGAGCGGTGGACAGCAAATGGGTAGAAGATAGTGAACGCACTCGGGTGCTCGTCGCTGAATATCGAGCTCGGCGTCCACGTGGCGCCAGCCACTTGCAGCCAGGCCAGCGTCAGACCAATCACGGGGTCAGCGCCGTCACACGCGAGCGGCAGTTGCCCATTCCATACGGCCAGACGGAAGAGGAGGTGCACGCGGAGCGCGAAGCACGGAGACGCCACAATTCGAGGTTGTTAACGGACATTACGTCTGCAAACGCCTGTTCTGCAGAACCGTCCATCAAGGCAAGGGGTAAGCCAGTGCTATCAATCCGAGTATGATGTGCCGGATATCACACTTCTACCTAGGATTGTTGGGCGGCTCCGGTAGCCGCAGCTCGTTAAACAGTGAGATGAGTACTCACCAAGCTACTAAGTAGCGTATGCGTTTGCTGTTGCAGGTGATTATCCGGGGATAAGCGGGGACACTGAGCACGGCGGACCACGCAGCACCGAGTGCGGCCCTGAGGCATGGCTGAAGTACAACGAGCTGATGTTTACAGTGCAACGCTCATCATGCTCTGAAGCATGCTCTGAAGAGGGGGAAGTAAAAGGCGAGGCGACGGAGTCATCGTCGTGCGACAGCGAAGATCAGTCCGGCGACGAGGACTGGGTCGCAAGCGAGTGCGAGCCCGAAGGGGAGTCTGATAACACGCCTCCTCCCTCTCACCAATCCGAACTCGCAGGCACACAAGGTTGCGGCCAATCAGCATCCGGCCGAGCGGGTAAGCGGTTGCGGGCAACCGGGAGCGACTCCAATCGTTTACGTGGCGACGCGGCGACGTCTGTGGTTGCCCGGGTCGTGGCTGTGTCGGCACGGGCGTCTGGAATGCGGCGAAGGTTCTTTAACATCTATGAGCAGACAAGCGACGGTGATGGCCCCCAGGCTACAGGCCAGAGCGCGCATGTCGCACGCGGCGAGCCAGGGACGTCGGAGACACGAGGACATGAGAGGAAGACCCCTCCGTCAGTCACCAAGTCGGCGGAGGGTCATGGTGGGTATCCCGCTGCATCGACCCCCACACCTACCACCCCTCTGAATCGTTCGCAGGATGTCGTCAAGGGATCGGCGTTTTCCGGTAGTTCGTGGCGTCCGTGGCCTGGTACACCGACCGCAACACTTCCCAACAGCGGCGTGGAGGCCGACTCCACCGCGGCACGGTCTCGTGCCCATGGGACCGGCGGAGGTCAGGTCAACAGGAGCTTGTTCGCCTCGCCGCCAAGGATGCCTCCTCCTAAAATTGCCGGCACCCCATCTAACCTTGCCCCTGCCACGCCCTTGGTAGCACCTTCACCGCAGGTGCACGAACGTGGTCCGGACGGAGGGAGCGGGTTGCCTGGCATGATTCCCACCCCCTTCCTGCCAACATGCGAGGACCCTCACGCAAACGTCCGTGGAACGGACACCAGTGTAAGAGGCGATGCGGCTGGAGACGACGCGGCATCGCGGGCGATGGTGCAAATAAAGATGTTGTGGGCGCAGATTCAGGCAAGTCGTGGGACCATGGATTCGGTGGCTACGGCACATGGGGGTGTGCCGAACTTCACCCTTAGGGCAGACCTGCAGGCCGCTCTTGCGGGAATGGAGTGCAAGGAGGCGGAAGAGTCGAGCAAACGAGCGGTAGAAGCCTCGCCAGCCGTGGAACCCCAGGCGGCGGTGTGGAGGCCGAACGGCAGACCCGTCGATGCACCTCAACAGAGTGGGGTGCGGAGGGAAGCAGCGCCAGAGACGCAGGCTCCAACACGGTCTGCCCGGGTTGACAGTGAGTTACCGCCAGTTGCAGCGGCATTTGCCGCGCCAAACCGCGGTTTCGCAATGAACCGACTGGCCGGAGCTGGGAGGCTCGCGGTTGTGGGCAACCCCATGGCTCGCAGGGTGGGCGGCGAAGGCCTAAGGACAGCGCCGGGGATGCCTGCGGGAAGCGTGGCGCCTGATGGGGCGGGATGGGATCGTCATGTGCCTCCCATCGCGCAAGGAAGGGGGGTGAAGCGGGATCGGTCGCGGATCACGATAGTGGTCGACTACAACCCGAATGATGCTCGGCCGGATTTGCAGCCGGGAATGCCTCCGGCCTCCGCGATCCATGTACGTGGGTGAAGCATCCATCCCTAATTGTGCGTGTGTGGGGTCGGGGGGGATGTGATGCTGCAGCGTGTTGTGCATGCGAATCCTCCCTAGGCCATTAGTAACGGGACAGTGAAGGCCATAATCCATTCCCCCCCCTCCCCCCCCCCCCTCCAACCCCAACCCTACCAACCCTGCCTGGCAGTTTTACGCGAAGAAGGCGATGCATATGCTGTTGCGTTCATGCGCCACGCATGGCGTCACGTATTGGCCGACGGATGAGGAGAGGAACGTGGCGCTGCTCGTAGTGCTGCGGTGCCACTACGACGTATGTCAACTCGACGTGGACCGCGCCATGGAGAACGGCGCGTACAGTAAGGTGGTTAACAAGTTGTGGTCGAAGTTCAGGAGCGACTCATCCTCTCAAGCTCGCCGTTGTACTGTGGATGGGCTTCAGATCGAGGTGGAGGCTCCAGGGGTATACAAGCTTGAGATTGACATTGAGACGAAGAAGTCACTGTGGGGACGCTACGCGCCCAGTGAGTGGCTGTGGGCGCAAGCAGGGTATCGGGGTGGGTGCTTTTTTTGGAACATGCATATGAGCTTTGGGGCTTTTGCATGTGTGGCCTGATTGCCTCGGCCGCTGCTGCGTTAATAACATGCCCTCTTGTTGGTCTTTGGGCAGGGATGTTGCCGGGGCAGCTGGTGTCCACGTGGAGCTGCGCGGAGGGGGATTTGCGGCCTTTTACTTCGAAGGTTTTCTTCCAAGCATGCTGCGCGGCCTATCCAGAGTGGCTGTTTGGCGGCAACATGGTGCTGGTGCCATACCACATCGCCTGGGTGTTGTATTCGGTGAGTCCGTCACGTATTTCCCCGTTGTGTTACCTCCCCTGCGCATGGCCATCTGACCCGATGTCATACCTTGTTCGTTGTGGCGGTTTGATTTCGGCATCCGCAACTGGAGGACCAAGGCGATCTGCATGACTCCTAGCCCCCTGGACAACGAGGGGGGGCTCGGACACTGCAACTCACAGGTGCTGCAAGTGATAATTCATTGGCTGGGTGTGGCCAAGGGCAGGTGGTACGATCCGGTGGTGGGAGGGTTCCGGTGGGGGGCCGAGCACCTGTACATGAACGTGAGTGAGTTGGAGGAGTTCAAGCCCGTGGAGTATGGGGGGAAGATGGAAGCGGGTGGTGACATGGGAGAGCCGTGGCGCACATGATGTTGTGGCCTTTGTGCGCGCACCTTGCTGTTGTCTGTGTCTGTCTATTAGGGTAGTCTAGGCGTTGGGGCCCGTAGCGTGTGTTTGTGGCCTGACCAGGGACATGGTAATTTGCACTTGTTTGTATATAGCGTACAGCAATGCAAATTGTTTTAAATGGTGTGGACGCCCTTGCTGAAGTACACTAAAACGAGGACGTAGTGGTGGATATACAGATGTTTTATATTGGATTTAAATCGCTACACTCGAACATACACAGAATGATAGCGGAGGTCGCAATGGCGGGGATGTCGGTGCACTGTGAGCCGGGCACGTGTGACCCTAAAGATACCCAAATCTGACGATGAAGTTACTTTTAGGTGTCTCTGACTGACCTGGATCTGAAGTTTCCCGCCAAATTTCTACCCGTTTCTGTCCCGTAATTGACCCGTAACTGACTCATGAGTTGCTTGTGGGTTGTCCAATCTGACCTCCATCTGGCCTAAAGTGTCAGTTCCAAAAGTAACTTTTGGGTCAGTCTCTGAGGTGACCTCAATGTTGCCCCGGTGTAACCTGGGGGTCCATTTCGGGTCGGAACATTTTAGAGATGACAGTCGAATTGCTACGATCACGATCAGTCCGAAGCGAGCCTACTAATGTCAAGGAAAATGATGAGAAACGAACTGACTGATGAATGGCGAGGAAGAAATTGCTGGGCGGGGGTGACTACCCTTGGTAACAAGGCCCTTCGCTAAAAAACTCCGCACGGAGAGAATAGTAAACGAATCCATGTTTGTGTTGCAAAGCAGGGCCCTAGATATCAGCCTTTTTACGCTAATTCAGCGTTAAAACAGGTTTTTTTTAATACCCTAGGCTGAATCCAAAGTTTTTTATTATGTACTTTGGCTGATTTTCCAACCATTTTATATGTACCTTGTCTCTTTTTCAGACTTTTTTTTGTGATTGTACGCTGATCCTGTAGTCTACTACCCGGATCCTTGAAATGTGCCTATCGCCAGCCGATCACTGCCACCGAATGATAGCGGAGGTCGCAATGGCGGGGATGTCGGTGCACTGTGAGCCGGGCACGTGTGACCCTAAAGATACCCAAATCCGGGCACTTCAAACCATTATATCTCGAATGTTGGCCATTGTGTGGGGAGTCAACCCAAGTGTGGCGTAGGATTATTAGGCAAAGGGCGACCATAAACTCAAATTTAGTAACAATAAGCCCTCACCACTGCAAATGGGTACCCTTAACTCTTACACCCATATGATGTACATATTTTATTATATGTCCTTCTTTTGATTGAGCAAGTGCAGTGTTGTATAACAGTACAGTGCTGTATAGCGGTACTTCATAGTACAAATAAGCCCTCACCACTGTATATCTCGAATGTTGGCCATTGTGTGGGGAGTCAACCCCGGTGTGGCGTAGGATTATTAGGCAAAGGGCGACCATAAACTCAAATTTAGTAACAATAAGCCCTCACCACTGCAAATGTGTACCCTTAACTCTTACACCCATATGATGTACATTTTTTATTATGTCCTGCTTTTGATTGAGCAAGTGCAGTGTTGTATAACAGTACAGTGCTGTTACGAATAGTACAATTTAATTGTTACTGAGCACTCCTCACCGCAGCAAAGAGAAGCACGCAGTATCGAAGCAAGAACGCGAACCGTTAGACAGTTGGAGATTGACTCGAAGCGTCAGACAGTTGGGGCGCATCTGGACCGTCGGAGCAGACGGCATCGGGCAGCTGCAGGCAGGATGGTTTCGGCGGGAACAGTTTTGTAACTGTACGCGCCGCACGGTTGGGAATGTATTTGAATAAGGGAATGTACCCCTTAGAGTACATGGCTAGTTAGGTCGCTTCGTATTCCCCTGTACTCTTATTTATATCATTGTATTTGCATGTTTTATTTCATCTCAAAGCATTTTACATTCACTCTGCTATTGAGGTCAAGGGCCCACCAACTATCTACCTACGTGCGAACCTTCCCGAGTAGATCCTGGTAAGCGATCATTCTCTGATCGTAGCATGGTATGAGAGCGGCTCGGGAATCCTTCGCAACACCACTCCCGAAAATTGCGACATTCGGAAAGTGGCGACCGGCACACGCTCGCGTGTGAGAATGGCCGGAGGATCTGGTGGTCAGACTAATCTGACGGCTGAAGCGCGCACCAATCCGGCTGCGACAAGCGAGGAAACGACTACGATCGGCACCGAAGTCCTCGCACAACTTCTTCAGCGACTCACCAGCCTGGAGCAAGGGCTCCAAACATTGCGGAACAGCGATGCGGGAACATCCTCGCAACCATCTCAACCGGCCCCAACTGGGCAGAACGCCGTCCCGCAAACCTTCTCCCTCGACACAAATGGCTCAACCCCCAAAGCTCCCCGTCCCAGTGAGGAGGCAATCCTCTCAGCACAATCAAAGTTTCTCAGCATATCAAAAATAAAGACAAGTACCTGCTTCGACGGCAGAGATTTCTATACCTGGAGCTTCGAATTGGAGCTCCTGCTGCAGAACGCCCAAATCTATCACTATTTCGACGGGAGCTACGCGGAACCCGCTGAGGACACCGACGACGCCAGGACTCGCTACTACAACGAGTCCCTGATGGCGTACGGGATTCTCCTGCGCAATATGTCGCCGGCGGAGCAGCTGAACATCCGTTCGTACAAGACATCGGCTGCTCCAGCCCTCGACGCCTGGCGCCACCTGAACGGCGTGTACCAGCCGAAAGACTCCGTCTCTTCGAGCCGACTGCTTCAGCAACTACTGGAGACCAAGATGGCCCCAGGGGAGAAGGTCAACAGCTACATCAATCGCTGTCGGAGCCTTCGCGATCAAATCGTAAAGCTAAGGAGTTCGATTTCCGAAGAAATCTTCGTGAACATCGTGCTTCAAGGGCTCGGCCCAGAGTGGCGGCCCTGCAAGGCGCTTCTCCGACAGCAGGGGGTCATCTCGGAGGCCGCCCTCTGCGCCGCCCTTCTCGTCAAACAAAGGGATATGGACCAAACAGCGACCAGCGCCGCGACGAGAAAGAGAACGGGTCGCCTTCTACATCGACAACAACGAAGAGCGACGTCCGAGGCGCCTCTACTGCAAAATTTGCAGGACTTTCGGGCACCTGGCGGATCGATGTAAATACCGATCTCGCCCTCGCCAGACCAATCCGAGCACCTGGTCCGGCCGACAAGACGCACGAGGCGACGTGCGTCCAACCCAGGGGTATCAACCCCCACCCACGCGCAACCTGAACCCCGCGGTTCAGCATCAGCAGCAGCAGCCGCCACCGACTGCCACAGTACGCAATGTCATGAGCAACATGGCCATGACAGGCGAGTCACGTCGTCGCCGCGCACGCTCACCATCACCTGAGCCAGCACCGCATCCCATTGGCGCGTTCTCTAACAACAACCCATTCAGTCCGCGCCACGACTTCACCGACGACGACGACCAGGACTGGAATCTCCCAGTCCCGCTGCTTGAGAGTCCCCCGCACGTACCTGACATGCGGGTGGCGCCACTTGATTGGCTCTCGCGCGAGGAATTCCTGAAGTTCGACACTCCGCACATCGTCACGCCGTGACTGGCGCTGCTCGCACGTGACGACAACAAGCGCTACAACACCTGGTACCTGGACAGCTGCTGCGGCCAGCATATGGTAGGCTCCGAGCGTTACATATCCAACGCCGTCGCCACCCCCACAGTCACTTACGTCACAGTGGCGAACAACACGCGCCTGCGCGCAAGCGCGCAAGGCATCGTTGTGCTCAAAGCACGCGGAAGGAGCATGCACATCACGCTCAACGATGTGCTGATCGTCCAGAACCTGCGCTTCAACCTCCTGTCCGCCGCACAGCTCATGGATTGCGGCGTCGACCTCAGCACGGATCGCGCGACGCGCGACATTCTGCTGCACTACGAATCGCGCACCTTTTCCCGCAGGCAGATCGGACGGGCACACTCCGAAAATGGAGTGTACGTTTTGGATTTCGACATTCCCGACTGCAGCGGCGATTCGCACGAGTTAATCGACCTCGTGCCACTGCGCTTCGAGCACATCCACCGCAGGGACTGGAAGCACCCTGACGCGAGACCGTGGGTGCCGCATCATCCCCACCCACGCGAAACGGCGCTGCACAACCCTGACCCAGACGGCATCTGCAGGGACTGCCACACGCCAACGACGTCAAGCAGCGCCATTGCCGGCCGTGGACTCGCCGCCATCGCGGAAGCAGAACGCCACGCGCCGCCAGAAGAGGGCATGTCGCAACTCGAACTGGAAGTCACCACTCAGCGTGTGTTCGGCACCGACCAAAGCCCCCACGCTGGACCACCCTCTCAGCGCCTTGAAGGCATTCTGCGTGGACAACGCCGCGGAACCTTCGACACGCGCGGAGTGGCGCGGCCTTACACCCGCGAAGAGTTCCTAAAGATTTACCCCCACTGGCGCGATCCCACGGCAACACTCACCGTGGAACAAGAGGAAGAACTGGCGCGCCGCGAAGCCGAGGAGCTTCGCCAACAGAGCCTCGCCGAGGCACGCGGAACGTTCGCTTGCGCCGCATGGGGCGCCGAAGCTGAAGAAAGCGCCACCAATGAAGGGGGGTGGGGAAGCGTCGGCGGTGGGGAACGGCTGAGGCTGGCGACTGGGGCAACACCGGCGGAACCTGGGCAACCGCAACCGG